CCCTCTGCAGGTGTCCATGATGGCGGTGGATGAGATGTTTGGAGATCTGCCAGTGATGGAGAGAGATCGCTACTGGAATGACTCCAACCCCCGACCACCCTACACCGCCGCCACTCTCTTTGTCCTCCGCAAACCCTCCTTTCAGGGGTCCACCTTCGACATGGCGTGAGATTTTTTTTTTTGTAGGGGGGTGCTTTCTCAATGTACGAATGTATGACTTGTGACACTTTCAGTTTGAGTCCACCCCACTGGATGGGAAAGTCTGTGTGATGATAATGAAAGTATTCAGCAATAATTTAAGAAGTAGTGTCAAGTAGTTAGGGTTGAGAAAAAGTAAACATAACTGTAATGAAGGGTATTTTCAGGAAAATGGAACATAAATGACCACATCTTTTGTCAGGATTCCTAAAGAGGAGATGCACTTCCAGCCTCTGGAAGACATTGATGAGAACCTGGAGGAGACAGGCAGCCATCATCCTAACACTGCACTCTTCAACCACCTCCTCAGTGCAGCCCCCTCCCCGACTGGCTTCATGGGAGGTGCTCTTCGCTGCACCTCTACCCAGCTCCAGAGGCCACACCACTCCCCCAGCACTCAGCGGTGCACCAACAATGATGAAGACAATGATGAAAGTTGTAAAATAGGGGGGTCTCTGCCATCAGGGCTGGGGCAGGAAACCCAGAGCACTGTGTGTAGTTTTGAGGAGGAGAAGAGCACCAGAACACCTCTGCTGGAAACTGAGTTTTTGACAGAGAATGAGAGGCAAGGACGGCACTCTGCTGTCAATGAGAAGAATGGAGTGAGTGTAGTGGAGGGAAAAAGCAATGAAGAGTGGTGGATCAGACAGGAAGGAAGGAAAGCAAACTGTCCAAAGGGGGAGACCCAAGTTCCTGTGTCACTGCTTCCTCCTCCTCCCAAGTCCTCAAGAGGGAAATCTACTCAACCAGCCTCCGCCATTCCCATCACCTCCTTTCACCCAGCTGCCCACTGCAGCTCCCAGCCAACCATTCCAAGACCTCGTGTTGTAGGAAACAAAATGTCCTTCCTCACTGTGCCATCTTACGAACCTCAGCGTTTTCGCAGCGTGAGCATGGGCTCAGAGTTTACTAGCTTTTATGTGGACAATGGACTGTGAACTATTGACTGTAATGTGTGATTCAATGTACATTTTCACAAGTGAAATTAGTCATACACAGAGAACTGTGCTTCCACTTTTACTTCAACCTCTCTGGGGCAATGCCAGGACCAGCTTTAGGAAATTGGACTGTTAAAGATACACTCCCTTATTTTGTTATAGAAGCCAACAGCTCTCCATGTTTCTAAAAGTGCAAAATTGAAATCAATTATTCCAGAAAATCAAGGTGTGTCCAAAGAAAACTTCAGGTTCTTCCATTATCTGCATATCATATGCTACTGTAGAATGTTACTACTAGGGCTTGCAATACTATTTTGGCATTAGCTGAAGAAAAAGTGCATAAAAGAAGACAAAATGGATAACATTTTTTGTTCATTTTATTCACCCTGATTGTTAAAAATCCTGTAAAAAGAATTTCTAATTTGTTTTTGTGTATATTCAAACAAACACAATAAAACTAATGATGTAACACAGCAGATGTATTTCAATGACATAAAATGAAGTCATTGTTTTGTCATTTCTAATGGAACTTGTATCTTAAAATAAACCTGTAAATATAATACAATGAGGAATGGAACATTCAATCTGGTAATTATTTACAGGCTCACATTTAATTATAATACCAAAAAAACAGTAATCTATGACCCCATTTAGATTTTACACTAAGCCTAGTGTCACTTCAATATCAGCATTGACCAGCAGGGGGTGGTAGCAGCAAAACAAATTGATCACATGAAAATGAAAATTAAAAAAAGCAGAAAAAAAACTAATTTCACA